AATAATACTTTTAAGTGTATTTAAGAATCCTTTAAAGATTTCTGCTGTCACCCCTACGCCAGTTATTGCTTCACTTTGGACTATGTTTAAACAATTTAATGCTAATACCATGGTTATGTTATGGTCTCTTGATGACAATACACATTGACTTAGGGTCATTCTTCGGAGACTGTTTCCGTGGTTTTTTACCATATGAAGATTAAACGGACCAGTGCTGGATCAAGGAAGGGGGGCTAGGGGGACTATAGCCCCGGGCCCCGCAAATTTAGGTACCCCCAAAAATTTAAGAGAACCTTTTTTTTTTTTTTCCAGTCTTTTTTAGGCTCAGGCCCATAAAAAGGCCTCTAAAAACAAAAATAACCCCGGGCCCCAAGAAGTCTTAATCCGCGAACGGACTTTCATCAACATAAATGATATTTTATGTTGACAACCTCGTTGCAATGTTAAGTTTAAATACCATGAAACATGTTTTTTTTTTCTTCTTTTACCTGTGCAGTATTACATCTTTCATTAATAAGTCTTAAAATATTATATGTATAATTAAATTTTTTTAACCATCGCCATAATGTAGAACCATTGACATCAATTCTTTATCTTCTAATGATCAAATATCTTATTTCAACATTAATTTAATTGTTTTCGCGCGTTATTCATTTTAGAGTTTTAAGAAATTAAAGAGAAAACGGGTTTAAATTGTATGTGAGGAAGTTAAACTAAATGAAGTACAAAAGCAAAACTATTTATCAAGATAAAAAATACCGCCAGATTAAATGAAAAAAACCTCCAGATTCGTGCAAAAAAACACCAGATTAAATGCAAAAATTGGTATATTGTACAAAATTAAATAGAAATGTCATACTTTTTTTGATATTATTATTTGGTTTTTTATGCAATTACTAATTTCACTTTTATTATTCAATACGTTTTTGGCATTTGTTTTGATTTAAACCTACGCATAAATGCCTCTCTTTCAAAATTAGCGAATCAGATTGCGCCTATTCTGAGCATGAAAAGGGTTTCATGCGTTCCGGAGAGATCTTAAAGGAGGGAGGTTTCTTGCTGACAACAGCAACAGCGATATATTTCCCAGAAATAAAGATATATTTATCGGTTTTGTTCAAATAGATAAAATTAGCAATAACACTGCATAAAAGATAAAAATCTTGTTCCCCATTTCACAAACATCATTTCAAGTATAAAACTAGCAGGTACCTGCTGGTTTTATACTCGATAAAAGAAAGTTAATTCAAAAAAAAAGTTTGTATCAAATTTAAAATAAAAAAACCTGATTTACCATGTTACTATCACAAATTGTGAAGTAACAGGCTAAATCAGTGTGTTTTAATTTTTTGCTAACACAAGGTAATATATGATTTTTATAGTTTTGTCCTTCTTTTTAAATATTTAAAATAATCAGATACCTGAAAAGACTCAGTTGCTAAAAGGACTCACATTGCAGCATTGCATAAATTAGAATCAAATCAAATAACTAAAATGTTTAAACTTAATAATATTGCCGTGCTCCCCGAATCAGTTAAATAGTGAAAAGTTTTACCTTGTCTTAAAGTTTTTTATCAATAAACTATCTGTGCCTTAAATTGTCATCCAGATTTAAAAGATGTTGGTCATATTTTTTTTCTTTTAATAATTACTGAATTATTAATGATCATAGTTTTTATGCAGATGTATTTATGTGTGATTCAAATTGAGCTGCCAATGTCTCTGTTGGTGATTTTAATTTTTAAAAACTATTAAAATTAAAAAGCATGGCTAAAGAAATGTGTTCTTCTCAAAAAGTTTGTTATAAAAAGTTCCTTTTGTCTATCAATCATATATATGTTTTGCTTGGAACATTTACCATTGATCCTATAGACAAGCAGTTTAAAAAACTCACACAAGGATCAGTTGGTACATGTTTTATTACTATACAACAAATATGAGAGAAAGTTTTTATTATAGACTAAACTAGTTATGTAATTAGACAGTAGTGGCAATTTTACTGCATTAAGATATTTTTGAAAAATTTGTTTTTTATTCAAACAACAAGAACAAAAAAAATTGATATTTGATAATTTTCTTGAATATAAAAATTTATTATCTATATTATCTGATTTACATAGCAGGATATATTGCTATGTAAACCAGATAATATACCCTGCTATGTAAATCAAATAGTAAACCAGATATGATAAAGTTTTAAATTACCTGTACTTTAATTAAGATTTTTTACTAAGAAAATCAAACTTTTAGAAATGTGTACATTTTACTATGGAAATCAATCATAGAGGATTAGCTGTGACTTAGTATGCCAATGGGTAATATATTTCTGTACTATGCTCCATAAAAAAATTTAAAAACATATTTTAAATAAAAATTATGATAAAAATTTTTGTTAAATAATAATGGGTCATTTTTAATCGAGACGATAAAATGTGGCTATTTTTTTTAAATTCTAAAATATTAATAAATCGATACTAAAATCGTGAGTGTGGTTTCAAAAATAATTTTTTGAATATA